AAAACAACACTCTGGTGTACCGATTTTAAACTATTGGTGGCGCAATTCAACGTACAATACAGAGAACGGGAAATAAAGTCAAAGAACGCATAACGCGAAATTAAAAAGCGAGAACGTATCACCGGGAATTCATTACACCCTATAACGTAGAACGAGAAATTAGCTGAGAACGAATCACCATGAATTAAAAATCCCGAGACGCATCACCAGGAATTAAAAAGCCCTCATAACGGATAACGAAAAAAGTATAAATGGGCCTGATAGTTGAGTTACTCACAGTCCCTCTGCGCGATTTTTAGTAAATCTTCCAAATGAACATTGAATACAATAATATTTTGGGAGTTTAGATTGAGCTAAGCGTTCACGCACGCCCACACACAAGCTAACAAGCCACACCAACCCAGCGACTGCTGAGCATTTGTACACACTCTCACCATGTCTTATGCTGTAATATGCAATCACAATTCTAGTTTCCCCATAACTCTGGATTTAATCCGTACTTAGCATTTCTTAGCTCGTGCTAAGCGTTCACACACGTTTTCTTAGTACGGGCTATAATGTATTTGATTTCTTAGCCTATACCCCGGATAACTAATGTCTGAGCCCATGCTATCCTGTGATATTAAGGGCGTGATTTTAAGGCGGCGTTATTGTTGTGTGAACACGGTAAGTTTTGATGGTTGTGTGATAGCTTATGTTGTATGTAATAATCCTTTCTCAGCCAAGTTTTTTTTTCTTCAAACTAATATAGGTTGAACTTATTTATATTCATTTGATAAATTGCAGTTAATCTCTGGGTTTTCGCTGCTGTAGTATTTTTGTTTCGTCATCGGAGTCAATCCCATAATTTCTTGTATAATTGCATTCTACATATCTCTTCCGAACTTGGTTTAAAAATATATCATTTTCAAATTCATGGAAAGGCTCTCCTCGCAATATTACATTTCGCGGGGACAGTTCATTATTAATAGACAGTATATTGCTACACAGCGTGGATGACAGTAGTGTGTCTTGCTACAATTATGCCAACAGCTCAGTTTAGGAGTAAATCTGTATTAAATCTAATAAAATGAATACTGACGTATTTATATCATATTGCCCTTTGTGGTACCTCAAACACTTTTTTTTGTAATTTTGCTAAAGTCTTTAAGACCGTCAACAAACTCAATCTTTTCAACGCACGTCCTTGTTTGTTGACACGAAAGAACCAGAAAGCAATCAGACACACGGTAGTTTCTGGGGCAAATAATGTAAAAAAAAAAAAAATGTGTAAAATTACTTTATCATCATTGCAAATAAAACAGAACAACGGTTGTTCTCGGATTATCTGACACAACTATGGCGGAGAGACTCAGTCATAGCGAGGCTCGGTCATAGCGAGGCTCGGTCTTAGCGAGGCTCAGCTATAGCTGTTGTCCACCAATGCGAATGTAAGTAGAAAAATATACCACTATAGACAATAGCATTTAGAATCGAAAAACCGCCAAAAGCGTTTTTATTTAGGAAAAACAGGGGACCCGCTGTGCAACGAATTGTGCTCAACTGCGATTGGTCTGCAAAGTCTTCTAACGTTCTGTTAAATCACCTATGCTAATAAATTGAGGTTAAAGGTTAATACTGACAAATCAAAAATTGATGTATTTAGGGGTGGTAGCAAACTCAAGTCGTATGTAAAACTGTTTCTTGGTGAAAATTTATACTGTAAAATTACCTTTATTTGTTATTAAGAAAGCCCTAAATAAATTTGTAGTTAGTGTTGATACCAGGCTACCACTTTGAATGTTTGATGGCAAAGTTTTAACATTTTCATTGTATAGTAGTGAGATTTATGGTTTCACAAAGGTGAACAAATTCCTAATTTCCGAGTTACTATTTTTCTCACGAAATTCGATAGAGGGCGTTCTCAAAGTACCCAGATGACAGTCCGTTCAACGTTCGTGGTGGGGTTGAATTTGAACGGCGTCTGCTGTAAGCAATATACTAGTTTTTTACAAACGTTTTGCAAGAATTGGTCAAAATGGTTAACTGGTATTGTAATGCCACAGGTTATTCATGAGGTTCGATTAAAAAGAAAAAAACAGCGAAATATCCTGAGATGAAAGACGTAACTTTTCATACACTTCTTTCGTCCAAGAAATAAACACTTCAACGCCAGTGGATTCGAATGCGTCGTCGGGAACCTGAGTGGACGCCAAACTATATTCCCAGGTTTGTTCAGGGCATTTTCCATCCTGCGCCAGTATTTTTTTAGTTCAATAACTGGAGACAGCCGTCTTTCAACCACAGTTATACATCGATTGAAAAACGAAGACTGTCAGCTTCCCGAGACGAGCGCAAACAAAAACATTTATGATAACTGCATCTGCTGATCGCCTGGTGAATCATATTAATTCAAACTTACACTACACATTTACAAACACCAGAAACTATTTTAGAGTTTGATTTGATAATAAACCATGTATTGTAAGGATTTTCCTTCATGGATCATTGCCGAATACACTCTGTCATAATGAAAATAAATTCTGTATTCTGCACATGATGAAGCTTTACGGACATTATGAAGTAAATGGCCATTATCAAGTCGATATTCTTTCAGTCTGGCTGTTGATGTCCAGTCACTTCGATGCTGCAGCAACAAATATGCGAACATATCAGCTATTTCAAACAAAGGCAAAGTATGAAGGTTTTTTTGCCAAGTTTTTACGTTACATGGATCTACCAGAGTTATTGTCGACTCACTGTGTTTTACAGTACGACGACGATTGTTTGACTCTTGACGAACATTTAACTCGTTTGCTAACTCAACAAGTTCAAAAAGTTTAGCTTTACGAACATTAATATTGCTGCAAGTTATACCACGATCCAGAAGAAATTTGCGGAGTTCTGGAACTTTTTTGCTTTTCCATCTATTGATTTACGCATGTAAGAATACAGAACTTCAATAAAAACAACCCCACTCAGGCTCGTCATCCGGGTATTTTGGATGCGCCCTCTAGCGGAATTCCGTAGAAAACCAACAACTCGAAAATTAGGAATTGAAGCCGTGCAGATGACGTTTTGTCTTAAGGTGCACCAAACCTTGCAGTCCAAGGCGATCTCAGACGATACACCATGCGCAGTTTATCGAATGCATATCATGTGCATGTTGTATTAACCCTGTAAAGAATTTATCGCTGAGAGCTCCGTTGCAATCAACATTTCAAAATTTATTTATTTACATGGTTCAGATTTATACTGTTTACCTGTGTAGTATAACATTGTATTACATTGTATCTTGTTTATCATTTAATGTTGCCATGTTAGGTGTTGATCTTGCCGCCTCTTTCTATAACCTTTGACTCGTAACTAAGACTAATTACTTGTTGCTATGATAGTGGAATCTTCCACTTTGAATTGAACCAATCATAGTTATGTATTCTATTTTGACAACATTATGCAAATACTCCTAGCTACCAGATTTTTTGAGGGAGTAGTTTTGGTTTTGACTTCAATGTAGTCTGACGTCTTGTAATAAAGTAAATCTCACGGAACTCTGACTTTGTCCCATGGAGTCTATTCCTCTACACAACGCAACCCTATCTCATCCACCACAGGATTGGATGCAACCGACCTGTCATTATATGAACACACTGTGAACAGGTGAATGTATCTGTGTATTATAAACAAGTAGAATTTATAGAATTGAGAACAAAAACGTGATCACTCAATAAATACATAAAGTTTCCCGCGGTTCGCCAGTATAGCGGGAAACTATTGTCTTCACATGATGTCAACATCCAATCATAAACTTTATGTAAGGCACGTGATTTGTAGGTATATAAGGCAGAAGTCTGCAATGGTAATTCATTCTACGCTGGACTAGCCACGGTTCAGTTTTCCTTGAACATTTTTAAGTAGTGTACTTTGTTAATATTTTGGTTTGGATGAAACCCGACATCCATCCTCTGGCGCACATGACAAGGCGACGGGTACTGGTTTCCAGCTTAATTTTTACCCAAAGCGGGTTTTTTATCTCTGTTTTTTCTGGGCGGTCTGTGTGCTAAAAAGGGGGATATAAATTAGTTTATATTTGTGTATCATTTTTTTTTAGTTTCTTTGCATTATAGTTATGTTATCGTTATTACTTTAGTAATGTGAATTTTAGTTTTTCCGGCCGGGTTTTAAAATGGTTTTAGAATGGAGTTTGTACAAATGAGTAAATAAATGGTTGGTCGGACTGTTCCACGTGGCTACATCCTGCAACCTAACCTTATACATATCGTGTATCGTGTATAGTGTGCGGTGTGTTGATGAGTGGGTGTGCAGTCTGGTCAAGACTTATGAATTCTTCACTTACATATTGAATGGTGTGACCTGTCACTCGTTGGTCGATAGAGGGCGAATGTCCACTGAGTTCTTCGCATAGACACATGTATAGACAAATAGACGAGATGACAGGAAACACTGCTAACATCGAGTAAAGACACCATTTATTATAAAACATCCTTGAAAGTACAATACACAAAAATTCATACAGATTATAACAACTGTCTTTCAGAATCACAAATGATAACAAGTTCACGTACTCGTACATTAAAATATGAATATAAGCTGACAATATGGCGATATACGAAGAAGAGAAGAATGATTTGTGAAATTATAGTAATTGTTCCAATGGAAGCGTGCACTGTCCGGTACACTTAAAACAAACATAATCAGCGTCTATATCTCGAGGTTGATCCTAGTTGAAGGTTTGTTTCGATAATCTGCCGCATATAACCAACTTACACGCATGAGCAGTTATGATAAACATGTCAGAAAGATACGTTGTGAGTTTTGTATTGGTTGACACTGATCTTTTTAGATTTGTATATCTTTGTCTAATACAAATTTAAAAGACGTAAGGTCGTGATTTGGACCATATACATTTCAAATGTCCCCCAAATTGATCAATCGTACTTTGACGACTTTGATGACGAAAATCCTTGACATTTGGACTGGCACAAAATACATTGGGCTATCTCTTCTAGTTGTTTTAATTTATGTGTAATACATTATGGAATTAATAAAACAATTGATGTAAACAATAAACTAAGACTCGCCTAATTTAATTTATAGGGTTGACAACTATAACGATGATTTCACTATGTCATTTGTTGTGTTAGTGCAAAATATATACTAAAAGAGAATAATATTAGTTTAATTTGAAATGCATGTACTGAAGTCATGTTTTTTTTCTGATGCAAAAAAAATAACTAAGGATGTGTTACACAAGAGATATTTGAAATGCGAGATTAAAATGATCTTGGCAATAGGCATTCACAGAAAAAAAAATATATGTCATATTTTATATATGTTTACATCAAGTTCAATAGCAATTTGTTCGGGCAAATACTAGTAATCTGGGAAAAATATCCAATAATAAAAAAATGTTCCCTAACGAAATCAAAGCTATATTCACCTCAATTCGAACGACACAGGAATCGCATTCATTATTTATTTACATTTCAGACTTGTTACCAAAGATAATGATTGATGCTGTTAGAGTCACGGTTAGGGGCACGTTGAAATAGTTTAAATGCTTTCTGTAATGTTATGCGAGTGAGTCAGTTTGTTCAATGTTGAATTTTAAAATCAAAAGATTTTGTTTGGATACAGGATGAAAGTAGAGACAGATTTTGAATTGCAGCTTTACATTGATGCTATCGCTACAATGCATTATGGGAAATTGTATATGTGTGCGAACAACGATGGATTTATTAGGGCTGTTACAGGAAAAATAACGTGTCTCGTCATTTCATGTCAATAGATGCTGTCGATATATAAGTAATCGGAGCAGCTATCTCACCATAGCTATCTGAGGTCAACTGATAGCGCAAGGTGTGCATTGATTGATAATATATCTTATCTTTAATTAATCATATGGTCGTTGCATCCAGAGCTAAAAATTAGATATCTATTATAACGTTAATGAGGTTCCTACGTAGACATATTTCACGAATATTATTTAATGTGCAATTATTAATAGAAAGCATTAATGAAACGCCGTAAACATATATTTTCGGCCTTGGTCCCCACCTTTTCTATTATGGTTATTTGAAGACTGTACACCTTTCAACCATATGGTCACGTGATTTAACAATGCTGCTAGCAGCTCTTGACACTATAAGTCTACCTTTGCGAGATTTCGAAACTATGCAGCGCCACTAGTGGCTGTTCCAGGCCCTATGTGTCGAGAAACGTGTGTGTAACCTCATTGGGTTGAGACTTTATCCGAGATTAATGACGCGGCATTATTGACTTCGACCTACAAGTCTTTCTATATTAATGTCTGCATTTTTAATTTATTTATGTTGTAATAAGTGCATTACCATCTATCAAATATGTTTTATGGTTTTTAAAACATAATTACTATTTATTATAAACTAGCAGGCAATCAAGGAATGCGTCGAACAAAAGCACCACTGGTATTCTACTTCAACTTCAAATAGCTGTAGTGTAACATAAAACATCTAAACATGTACATAGTATTAAAGAACATCTTTAATATTGGAATCAAATACAAACAAGATTACTTGTGTTATTTAAATTAATCATCTTCTATTAAAACCAAATTTCCGAAAAGATGTTACTGAAGAAAAGTCTTTTGTCCGTTTATGTGCATTCCACTTCACCACGGGCAGCTGAAAATAGATGAATAGATTTATCAGGTGTATTGGACGGGTTAAATAGTTATACCACTTCGGGTACAGACAACCATATCACTGTGTTTATCTGATATTCACGACACAATATATAAATTATATGATGTACTAACCGTGTTCCTGGCGAGCCTTTGCACACAATGCATAGTATTTACCAGACTCCTTCATTGATTTGAGAGTTGAATCAAACCATTGTGGCATTGTACTGTCTTTACGGGACATGATGTGAATGGTACCACCCATTCCACACACGGTACCTTCTCCCATTTGTACAAATCCTCGTTTCAATGCTTCAGCAGCACTGATGTCCAACAGGAAAACGGCATCCAGCTGCAAGACATAGCATATTTATGAAACCAAATAAAAAAACTACATATAAAGAGAGAGTCAATCCAAGACATTGTACAATTGTATGATCCATCTAACCATTTATTTAGCAAGATCAATTGGCTGAAGTCATCCATGATAGACGTATGTCATATTCTTTAATTTAGTGATTAAAATAATGATGCTAATACACGTTCCTTAGAGATGAATTGAGTATAATAACTTTGAGACTTATTAAGGTTACAAAGCAAAGCATATATAAAGGCAACAACAACGAATTAAGATGTTATTTGATCGATATTTCTCTGAGCATATCAATATCAGCAATACAAGCTGTACTCACCTTGTCTGATTCGAGTTGTTCAAACAGTTCTTTCCTGTTCTTCAAATATACAGCGTTCTCTGGTCGCATTCTGTCTGGCAATTCAACATCCTCGGGTTTCATCTGAAGCAAGCAATTTTCATCACTGACCCATCCATCCAAGAAACCTACCAAGTTTCATACAAACCATTCACAATTAAGACATTTATTTAAGGAAAATAAAACAAAACACTAAAAGATGTGGTTACAATCATTCTTACCAATTTTCTTTCCAACTGCTTCTGATGCAGGGAATTCACCGCCTTTTTTGACGTAGAGATGGGAGGTAGTCTTGGCTTGGGCATAAGGCTCAGTGAATTTCACAGAATGGAGACGTTCAGCTGTTCGCAACCATGTCAAACACCCATCATAATATTTGTTCATCAAACCTATTAGTTGAAAATAATAGTAAACGTAATATGTTGGTCACATGTGTTATAAATACAGCTATTGAATTATATGTGACTACAATTATACAAATAAAATCATTACAGTTTTATACAATTGTCGTGCTTACCAACTCCGGCTCTTGAATGTTCTCCTTGCACGTGGGTATAACAATTGGAATGAGCGTCATACATAGTAATACATTTCTTGCCAGCCTCCTCGCATACTATTGGATAATTACAAATATATAATAAACGTTATCATATGCGTTGTGCAATGGTACTTATCCCATTGAAGAAATGGCTTGTAAACACGTGTAACAGAATATCATCTCACACAGTTACTTACCTGCTTTGACGACATCGAGGCTAAATCCCTTCATGTTGTTTTCATCGTCACTGAAAGAAATGCAAAAACATATATAGGTAACCATTTCCATCTGAGCCAACATCAATGCACAGAGACGTTCCTCTAAAATAAGTGTATTTTGATTTTCCAAAAGTCTGTATTCTAATATAAAGGAGAGCGTTTAAAAATCAGTGAAAGTGTCACAAGTCTTGCTTATACAAGCCAAGTGCCCGTGTTAAAATGACACACTACATAAATTGTACGGATTGGTCACAGTAAAACACTCACGTGTATTCATGTACGCAGTCATCACAGCCAAGGGATGCAGCGAAAGAGTACACCCTTTCTTGTTCCTTTCTCTTAAACGTTTCATCAACAAGCTTGGTTCCGAATTTCTTTCCCATTAAACGCAGCATTATCAATTGACGGGCAAAGCTTCCAGAAGGACGATTAAGACCGCTGAGAGGACCGAAGCCTTGTTGCGATTGTTGTCCGCCCAAAATACGTCTCAACATCATCAGTCGTAAAAGTGAAGCCTCGGCAAAAGGGCCTTTGCCATCACCTCCAAGGATGCCACCAAATAGTTCTGCGAGTGGTCCCTTCTTTGCTTCTTCTCCTTCTTCTGAGGCGTCGTCGGCACTTTCTTCCTAAAACATATTATTTATTCTAGAATTGTCAAATTTCACCTTATGATGGATTGAACTGTCTACAGTCACTGTGATTATATTCACCAACCTATTCGACTGATATCACAGGGATATGATGAACTTTATACAGCTATTGTGATAATACTATCAACCTAAATCAAGTTAGACTTACTAATATATACGTTGATAATAACGCGTTTTAGCTATCATATGAAGTACCTATTTCAGAAATAATATATTTACATATTTAATAGTAATATTAATATAATATTACATATTATAAGTAATATATTCTAGCGTTGCTCCACCACAACATTACCCAATGGCGCATAATAAATGAGTTAGTCAATGTTACTACCATAAAAACGACCTTTGAACTCCCCGTATTATCTATCTTTATCTTATAGCTTCCTTTTCACGATATATGCTTCCATTGGTAGATTGCCAAATATGATGGTCTTGATCAAATGATACCGTGATCTGGACTATTCTACTACATTGAAAGGTAGTCCATGCTTCAAAACACCATTGATAAATCGTTACAAATTGTTAAAAAAAATGAAAAGGCGACAAAAACTAATCCACGACATGTATTATTTTAAACATTGGAAAACTTTAAAAGATAAAACATTTATAAGATTTATCTTAAAATAATCAAATTTTATGATCTTTACCAGTAGATATGCTAATACACAAATATAACTCACAAATATGCCTGCAAATCCTTGTGCAAAAGCCATGTCATCCGGAAGTCCGCCTGGGTATAATTCATCTAATTCATCTGTTAATTCAGTATATGCAGCAGCTGGGAGAAAAAAAGATATTCATTCATTTGTATATTTGTTTATCAAAAGCAGTAGGAAGTTTGTGGCTTTGCTCGTAATAGTTGGTGTCCACTCGGAGTAGGTACACAACTGACATTTGATTGTCTTTTCATCTTTTCATTGGCGTTTTAGAGCTATTCTTGTCGCGATGCGGTATAATGTGCTATATGAGAACTATGCGGCATCACATTCTTGCAATTCAGGGTCTTTCTGGCCAACATGTAACATGTTCAAATATACCTAATGTAAAATAAAAAGATAACGTAGTACACACGCAGTGCTAACATGTTACAAGTCCAGTCAGACACTACACAGGCCAAGGTGCATTGGTGGAAACCTGACCTTTGGATGGCCACACGGCGAACACACTTTTTGGAGATTAGCCACTCTAATGTCTGTACGTCGCGACTAGACGGTTAAAGTCTATTGAATTCACCTTTAAATAAAACAATCAGCTTAATGGGAAATTCCCCCAAAATATTAGTTTTTTACGAACTTAAACGTACTACATTATGCATGCCTTGTGCAACAAAGGTTTTAATTTTGATAATTGCAGCAGATGATAGCATTTTGTCTTTGAGTCATTATGGACAACTTTGAAACGTTCAACACTAAATTGTGGATTTATATGTTCGCCCCTTGCTAATAAAAACCACATTTGTTCTATTATATTTTTTATTATTGGTTCCATCTGATAATTAACATGTGCCTTAACAAAAAGACATTAAATCGGGCGACACTGCATTCGCCCTCGTGTCGGCACTGCGAATCTAAGACTGGCATAGCATGATTTGATGCGAGTTGCTGACGTTGCAAAATGTTCACCTCAAAATAAATACGACTTACCATAGGCCATAAGGCCAACAGCTACTAAGAAGAACAATTTTGACATGGTGTTTGCTGGATCGGGTGGATGCAAAGAGTGGACAGATCAGAGCAAAGCAATGCTTTAAACAATGCCTCACTATCTCATGTCATGTGATGTTGGTCTTAAGACTAGATATAACCAATCAGTGCAGCCCACTCATCCTAACTCTGGACAGGTTAAACAATGGCCTAATCTTTTATCTGAGGTCATCATAAAGTAGAGTCCTTGTGCCGACGACATCCGGTCCTACACTCATTAACTTTAAATTGATATTTCATTAGATATGTTATTATAGTAGTTACGTAACACAGAGTTAGATATGACGTGTTGATCCTTTGCCAAAACAAGTAGAAGATTTGAGATTCACTAACGCGTATTCAATTTGCGGAGAGGTCATGATAGGACAAAGATAAGGCACATCCGAATTAGGGTCAGAGGAAATAGTTTGACACCATATCCTGTGTGTAAAGATATAATACTCGTTCATCCTTATTATTATGCACGATGTTTCTTGGAGTAATTTGTGACAACTATTTGATATTACAACTATACAAAATAACTCCTTATCAATGCCGCATCCCATATTTGTTGTAGCGTTCTAACTACAAATGTACATTCAATAACCTCGTTCAAGGTTGTATTTTACAAATAAATGCTGGCGTAAACAACGAATTATTTAGGTTAGGGTACACGAAATACATGTGTCGCATCACTCAGGTCAAGAATAGATGTTATGTGCAGTTAATGATGGTTGCATATTCTACCCTTCGTTATTTTTATACTATGAATCGCATTAACGGAAAGGTAATTCTGAACAGAAATATGAAATTTCAAAATTGATTATTGGTGCTTTATGGATCACACATTAGTGATTATATTATCTACGACGAAAATTGAATTGTAAATGGAATTATGTATTATACATAATAATGACGATGTTTATACTGGATAATTGTCACAGGGAATAATTATTTGGATCAACTAAAAGACAGTATTTGCCCGCGATAGCATTTTTTGTGATAAAAACAATACATTTTACACATAAGCGACAGTTATAAAACTGGTACGAGATATTGATAATAAAATCGTATCATCCGTAACACATTTAATTGTTGAAATCTTTATTTGTTATTAGCAAGTATAACGTCATTGCAATGAATATTACTGTTCAGATTTCAACATTCTTAAACAGGTTTGTTCTAAAGCGTCGTGGTCGCTGCGCTGCGCATGTGCTACGTTTGTGTTGATAAACATTGATTTTCCTACAATCCAATGCGCTCGTCAAATGGAAATCACAAGTATGAGGTTTGACCTGGGCGTGGCTTGCACTGAAACCACCGGTGACTCCTTCGATACCTTCCAATCACCTAAAAATTCTCTAATTAAAGCTTGGAAACGTCTCAGTTTGTACTAGTTGATCTGCGCAACAGTCAAAGTCACCATCTTTGTTTGTATGAGACCCATATATCTCGCGCATGCCTGGCACGACGACTACCGCCCTTTAATCAAAGCTGCCATGAATATTCTTAAACAAAAGCACTGTCACAGTGTAAAGCCTGCTTATCGCTAATGAGAGAGCCACTCACAGAACTCACACTGGACAGGAGATTCTTTCACTGCTAGAATGGGGTAGACAAGACAATAGTACTGGAAATGAAATACGCATACACCAAAATATTGAGTTAAAGCTCCTGGCTTTAATACCTCTCAAAATAATTACACGACACAAAGCACAGAATAATACAATGCATAAATTCATTAAAATAGGGGATTGCTTTGGGAAATGTGCATTGGTGATAACTCACAGTTCCAGGATGAAGAAATTGATGGCAGTCAATGGCTTCTGCAACACAACAATGAAGAAATGCAGGAGTCTTGCTTGCAGAGGAATGCTGTTATTCTGGGGGGACACCACTGGAAGCAGGAGATTGCAGAGCAGTTCATACAAGTCTCACATAATAATGGTTGAAGTCTGTATCACTTGTCTCACAATATCGCACTAGCTATACACAGTAGAAATGATGGACACTAACTGTCCTCAGTCTGTCCAATTTATAGGCATAAATGGCCCAGATTCAGGGACACCACCTGGGGATCCACATGAGCCAATCAATCAATCCACATGAGCCAATCAGAATCATGTTAGAAGCTGTGTCACATAGGCAACTCAGTAGATCATAAACATCTTTGTTATTCAAATAACAGCACACCTCGTAGATTCCAATTGTCCTTCCAAAGTTGTAAACACCCTGTGTTATGTAAACCACAACCACACCCGGTAGAACCCACTGTCCTTCCATAGTTGAAAACAAGTATGACTTGTCAATCACCTTTATGACAATTATCACACGGCAATGTACACCGTTTCTTCCCATGATTCCATGCACACTTCTATTTGCAGGGTTCGAGGCAATATGACCTAAACAGAATAAAGGATGCTGACAACCATCAACGGTAATAAAGTAGAACAAGTTCTGCGTTTGTTTTCGCCAAATGTGTACGTTCCGTGGATGTGACAATATGAACAAGCAGCAGCTCTGTACAGCCACCTACGTAATCTATAATTATCTATATTTAGTCATTCTAAACAGGGTTACAAATGCCGTTTATTGTATATGAGAGCGCCGCCAATGGTCATAGCCTTGGGTTGCTTTGCGCATTGTATTGGTGTACCATCAATTACGCCAGGCTGACAGTTGTAATTTTTTTTTTTATTACGATTTAAATCGGGATATATTTAAAATAAATAAAAGAATCTCTAAAATATCTCCTTTTCAGTTTGTGTTTGGTGCCCTCAGCGGTGGTCTCTGTGTGTCGGTGATACGACAGAAGAAAAGCGGCAAGAACAGATTACAATAGAAACGCTCCCTAGCTTGGAATATGGTAATAACAATGGTTTATCCAGAATAATGACACTGATTATAGAACTGTTATCAGGCACATTATATTCATGTTATAATGTTAATTGAATAAAATTAAGTATTTGTAGAATTTTGTCTACAAATGCTACGATAGCGCCACCAATGTAGTAGTTGAGAATACATTCATCACGCATGAACATACAACTAAGGTTGTGACCTTTAACACCTCGTACTTTACCATTCTAGTTATTTTTATTTGATGTTTAGGAGAATCGATCAGCAAGCAGGCATTTGAGCTAAACAAACGATTTTTAGTTTGAGGTATGTTGGCTTAGTTTATTAACATTTTAATTTCCACATGGGAATAATGACACTGACCAATAACATACAGTTCACATAATGTCGTCATATTTTTCTATGATTTCTATTCTAAGAACATGTCTTTTAATGGCGTCCCTTTTTTGATCTGTTTTTGCTGAAATAATGTTGAAAATGGCCGTAAATTAATGTCATAAATAAATTATAATTAATAAATTATAAATTGTCGCGCTGGCTTTCTAAAAAATGCGGTACATTGTTTGCTCAGTAAGTCGTAACAAGAGACTCAGTAAAGCGGTATTACGAAACAACGATGGCATGTTGATTTACGTCCACTAACACCTGCATCGTGTATATGCCTTGTGTCGTTAAAATCAATGCTGCGATGTAAAGCACCAACACACGTAATACGTCCTTTTTATCTCATAAGATAGAGTACGTGGAAGTAATCAAGGTACGCAATATTGTTCTGCTACTAAGAACACGCAAAACATTTACAGAAAGACACCCGCTGACGATGACGCCAAATAATCACGTTATTAAACTCCCCATGGACGACAATGTAATCCGTATAGGTCTCATAGAATAATTAAACTACCCATGGACGACAATGTAATCCGTATAGGTCTCATAGAATAATTAAACTCCCCATGGACGACAATGTAATCACGTATAGGTCTCGTAGAATAATTAAACTCCCCATGGACTACAATGTAATCACGTTCGGGTTTTATAGACTAATTAAACTCCCCATGAACGACAATGTAATCCCGTATGGGTCTCATAGAATAATTAAACTCCCCATGGATAACAATGTAATCACGTACGGGTCTCATAGAATAATTAAACTCCCCATGAACGACAATGTAATCCCGTATATGTCTCATAAAATAATTAAACTCCCCATGAACGACAATGTAATCACGTTTGGGTCTTATAGAATAATTAAACTCTCCATGAACGACAATGTAATCCCGTATAGGTCTCAACGAATAATTAAACTCCCCATGAAGGACAATGTAATCCCGTATGGGTCTCATAGAATAATTAAACTCCCCATGGACGACAATGTAATCACGTACGGGTCTCATAGAATAATTAAACTCCCCATGAACGACAATGTAATCCCGTATATGTCTCATAAAATAATTAAGCTCCCCATGAACGACAATGTAATCACGTATGGGTATCATAGAATGATTAAACTCAACATGAACGACAATGTAATCCCGTATATGTCTCATAGAATAATTAAACTTTCCATGAACGACAATGTAATCACGTATATGTCTCATAGAATAATTAAACTCCCCATGAACGACAATGTAATCCCGTATGGGTCTCATAGAATAATTAAACTCCCCATGGACGACAATGTAATCACGTTCGGGTCTTATAGAATAATTAAACTCCCCATGAACGACAATGTAATCCCGTATATGTCTCAACGAATAATTAAACTCCCCATGAACGACAATGTAATCCCGTATAGGTCTCAACGAATAATTAAACTCCCCATGAACGACAACGTAATCACGTATGGGTATCATAGAATAATTAAACTCCCCATGGACGACAATGTAATCACGTTCGGGTCTTATAGAATAATTAAACTCCCCATGAACGACAATGTAATCCCGTATGGGTCTCATAGAATAATTAAACTCCCCATGGACGACAATGTAATCACGTATGGGTCTCATAGAATAATTAAACTCCCCATGGACGACAATGTAATCACGTATGGGAATCATAGAATAATTAAACTCCCCATGAACGACAATGTAATCACGTATGAGTCTCATAGAATAATTAAACTCCCCATGGACGACAATGTAATCACGTATGGGTCTCATAGAATAATTAAATTCCCCATGAACGACAACGTAATCCCGTATGGGTCTCATAGAATAATTAAACTCCCCTTGGACGACAATGTAATCACGTATGGGTCTCATAGAATAATTAAACTCCCCTTGGATGACAATGCAAAAAGAAGGATTATTTTATTTTTTAAATAATAGAAAACAGCATAGTAACGTCCCAAATTGTCGATTCAACTACATCCTAAAGTTTAATCAAGAAGTGGATCGAATGTTTCACATTTGCACTAATTTATTTTTCATCCACATTTATACAAACATGTTTCTCTGTTTGACTACCAAATGTAATATGCGCGCTAAAATACTAAGTATGTGTGTCAACTTTTCCATCGGTCACTGACCTTAGAACCTTACGTCATCTTGCAAATGACACGGTTTACATTACACCTATCTAGTATATTAATAAATGTAATCCGCTCTATTTTGGAAACTTACGCATAACAGATTGAAAATGAATATCATATATTGTGGTGCAGCATACAGCCACAGTTTTGTTTTCGCTGTACACGCTACGTATAGCGGAAGGTTGCAATTGTATTTATTTTCTGAATTTGGATTCAGTCGTTCAAACGTCTGTTAAAATTAAGAACGCTTTTAGTCGAAATATAATCTGAAAATGTGCATTTTCAATGCCTCATTATTCTTTCAAATAAGTTTTGTTTTTATATTTTTTGCGGGTAAAAGCTATATCGAAGAAACCCAACACAACGGTATGCAACGGAAATCTTAAAAATGTTGCTTTGTCAATTCATTATCAAAGTATACGACCTTTATACGTCACCTAATTTTGTTTCACCCGTATACAAACTAAACCAAAGTCAAAATTGAAAGCCTGCATGTAGTATTATGACTATTTACTCAGGAGGCTACTGAAACAATTATTAGTTTAATATTTTTCATAATGATGGCAATAGTATATTAAGAAAATCAGCTGTTTGTTGTAAAATGTGCACCATGATACTGGCTTTACAGTATGATATAATGTTTATTCTATCAGGTTGAAATCACATATTAGAAACGCTAGAAAATAGTTCAAGAGAAGTTGTGTAATGCAAACAAACATGATACGTGTGAAACTGAAAACTAGAATCAGATAGGCCTAACAAGCTCACTGACATCACGTACATTATAGTAATATAACAAAAATCTATCAATCAGGAAAAACTAATAATTTGCAGTGTTTCTGAAATCTTCCATTCCCTAGTTGCCAATGGTTGAACCTTCGTCTCTAGTATACATTGGATTCACGACAATGTTACAGTGGGTCACAGTCCCTCTATCGATAGTGGGACTGTGAGTGGGTGTAATAAGCAGACACTTAGTTTTCTCTTTCACGGTCTCACAGGTAGGGCATAATTTGGGAAGTCTACAGTGTATTTAGGCACAACACGTGCAAGCATTGTCAATCCAGTGTCAAATGTGCACACAAACAATATATGTCATTCCAAAGAAAAGCTGGAATTTTACAAAATACTGGCTGGCTGACCTACGGCAATTTTCCTTTTAATTGCAAAAAATGGCATGTACTATTGTAAACACCACACAATGCTTTTTAAGTAACCAATCACTCAACACACATATTTGAAGACTACGTTGAACAATATTTTTGTTTCGTTCAGGTTTTACTGCTAGCATAATATTGTAATATATTGTAGTTGTACAAGTTGTAATTGTAAGTATTACACGGTCTGTTTTTGCGCAAATACACCTTCACCTAGCGTGAAGTCGTCAATCTCCCGATATCTCAATTAAATAAGGTGTTTGCAAATTAATTAAATATGTTTCTTCTCATGTTTATTCAGCAATGTATTTACGAAGCTAATGAGCCCAGTGTTAGGTGACAAGCCATATTCCGTTACCAAAGACTTCATACAGTTACTCTGCAGCGAGTTACGTTGTTCCGTTGATACATATTCAACATTGATTACGTAATTACGTGGAAAGAAGTTAGTGGTGGTCTTCATCTGATCGGACTCATTAACATAGTATATTTTGAGACATAGCTGGTTTGATAACGGAAATTGTGTTGCCATTATCGTTCGCTTATTTGTGCTCGTTATCGTCGACATTCAGTGAATGACGCACAGAGGCACTGCTCGTCTATATGTAACGCTGTGCAGAGAATGTGGATCAAATTGCGTGGATGACCACGAACAGTAGTATGAGACTTCAATGACATGATGTGAATATTAGCTTTACTGAACTACCATGTTGGTTACCATGACAATATACATACCATAACAGACGATTAACGCTATTGAGCAGTGTCCAACATGCGGCTTGTTGTGTCGATAACAGTATTACTACTTCATCAGTCAGTTTGCTATAAGAACCATGTACATGAATTACAACATACACGACTACCTCGCAATAACCACCCAGTACCCGTGGAGGGGTTGAACATCACCACTGAACACTGGCGATGGCATTTCTTGAACAAGACTCAGAACAAGCGCGACTTTTACAAAGAAGGTGACGTCATACTTGGCGGCTTGTTCGACCTACACCGCTCTCACGATGGAAAATGCCACGTATTCAACCCGCGTGGTCTGCAATGGATGTATACAATGGTGTATACAATTGAAGAAATCAACAAAAGGCCGGATTTCTTGCCAAATGTTACATTAGGTAAGTATGTTATTGATTACAGGTGCGTGACCTGAAACGAATCATTACACAGTCTGTTCATTTCACTTACTGTTTCACTCAAACAGAGTTCTTAATGGCAACCCTAATGTACATATAACATTATTACTTGCTACATAACATGTATACACGCATTGATACACACCCTATCTCATTAACATGTATACGAGAAGAGAAAACACCATGCTGCGTCTTAAGATTATGTGTGCGGCTTTTCTTTCAACAATGTTTGGTCTAGTAGCCTTCTTGGAATGTTCGTATTATCTTTACATCCGGAGATAGAGAAAGCCCAAATAAACTGTTGTATGCGCATGCGTAAAACTTCTATACACGTTTTTATCGTGAATGAGTCGATGGAAATCACGTCCTGGAAAGCACGTACACATGCACAATATAGTAATACAGGCTCGTAAACTACATTTACTTATTACATACACTGCAAAGACATTCATCCTTTAAAAACAACGCAACTAAAATGGAATAATTTGAAATTTGACAAAAGATCATGAAGGCAAATAAATGCCTTATTTATGTGCTCGGTTTGACGACATTCTAAATGTATCTAAATATGTTAAAGAATTCTTATTTCAATAAATATTTAACAAAGTCGAATAACTTGAGAATCAATATTGCAATTTTGATAATTACACTAGCTTTATATTTAACGCGTGTTTTGTTGTTAAACACATGCAGATGTGACAGTCCCACGAAAAACTAATCTAATTATATTTCTGAATTTCCGTGAACCTCGAAAATGAAATAAATGTAACTCTGTATCAAATAACATAAGGGTTATACCTAGAATTTCTCTCAGATTTGACAATAATTATGACATAAAGCACGTATTATACATTTATAATTATCATGGTTATACTATTCACGATGCAGCACGTGAAGGAAATAAAGTATAATTATAAAAAATACAATTTTGTCATTTTCCAATTCATTAATACAAATGATTATAATGGCAACTACGTACGTCATTCTCTGAATCAGTCCATCATCTGTTCACTGTCACACGAAAAACTTCTAAATCCATATCTATTGATAATAAATGATGGATTCAATTGAATATAGAATTAATATATGTATACATACAACCTTCTTAAATATATTAAAACTAAATATTTTATCGAACTTTTCATTGTTACATGTTATTATCGAGTCAGGATGGGATATGTCGATGAAAGGCCTAGCATAATCGATATAATAACTGTTGATAATAATTTGAAATAATTGATTACTTCGAAATTACAGATACAAATATATTATAATAAATAACATACTCACGCAAACATAGAATGCCCGTCTCGACTTTCTCCTGCACAATAATATTTAAATTAATATATGCATTATTTCTGTCAATGTTTTCTGAAAATGGACATTCTACACTCCGTAACAATTAGAATACTCGGCGTGGAAGGATTCTGTAATTTTGCTACTGAACGAATTACGATTCTATTTTGAAACTTATTTTTGAATATCGACAATTAACAATGATTCAACACAACAAATGACGAGTAATAAGTACACCACTATAGATGCTTAGATGATTAGTGTACTTAGTATACAGGTAAAGATAACGTCACGGGAAGCGAAATGTTTTGAGGGCGTAGTCGAAATAACTCCCAGCTGCTCCGTGGTGTGACCACTTAATATGCAAGGTCATTATAATTTTCCTATCAACACATAATTCCCTAGTACTTTGCATCACGTATTGATACTGGCTACACAACAGCCAAGACTATAACAGCTTAAAACGTCACTGCATACAATATTTATACCCTCTCAACAGCAGCATTGAAACTTTCGGGTGAGCTGCTTTAAAGTTTGCAGACGTTGTCGCCGACTGACTACTAGTGCTGCCCACCACTTGACCAGTGTATAAAGAATTAGATTCATTATAACAAGGAAACATTTGTAAACACGTACTGAATATCATCCATGCAAGTATTCAATGCTATTTTATATGTGAAAAAATAACTTTTAAAACACATTTTCATCCGACAAAGATGTGTTGCTGTCACTATGTATGCATTTGGGTGGTGTATTATTCAAATGGATTTTTCTGCTAGAATCCGATTACTAGTATCTATCTAAACACATATTGACAGAACCCCGAACTTGTGACACTGACATGTCATTATGCAAGTTCTAAAAGAAAAGTCCAATTTTAGTAATTGGTGGTAAAGTAAATCTTATAACGTGAGCATTATAATACTGATTAATAATTAGAGTGACAACACGAGCCAGAATATAAATATTATTGGGAATTAAATGATTCCGTTTATTAACCCCTTTCACTGCTATTGTTACCCAAAATAATTTAAAATAATAACTACACTACACTTGGGCGCCTGGGACTTGCACATAATTATTCAACATTTTAAAATTGAAAATGAAATAATTGACGCATGCATGTCACATTTTTCAATGAAGTGGAATAATATGGACATAGTGATTTGAATCTGTTCAGTAGAAATAAATTGAGTTAATTGTGCTTGTTACTAAATCCTTCGAGAGTTTTACGATTATTCACACGTGGGCAATGTTTTTACAATTCGCCTTCCGTTAACGATTGTATACAACAGTCGTGCTTATTCCTGTGTTAGTCCATCACATCTATTCTTACGTTTTATTGTAAGGCTTAAAGATAATTGGAAATATAGTTATTATCCGAGTATAGAGTCAGTACGGGAAACAGAAACACACGCTTTCTTATTCTCACAACAGTTATTCACGCGAATCTACCATGTACGGTTTGGATTGGCGCCGTTCACAATGACGTCACTGCTACACCGCATTGTGGTATACCCTGTATGTTTATGGCCCCGCGTCCAATTTGACACGTTACTGCCCCCCTGTTCGATCCGTCAGACACGTACCAGAACATGACTGCCCGACCCCACGGTCAACCCGCCAGACATACGTGACTGCTTGACCAGAGGACACCTCTACCAAGACGTAACTGACACATTGCACTGTGGATCTTACTTCATTTCATTCAAATTATTAGATACTGCTTATGTAGTTATTCCTATCAATTTTATAAGTCATCAACGAAAATTAGTTCGGTTGTGCCGCCTACTCCCCTTAGAAAGTGCCTTTCGATCCGGGCACAAAATATCACGGTCGTTACGATGGATAAATAGAACGGATCTTCTACTTGCTGAGTGATCTCAGGTTACGCGATGTATCGAACGCAAACATTGACAACAAAATACACGTGCCCAAGTTAACTTCTGGTGTTGTTTAGTGGCTCATTGAAAACTACCTACTACTTGAATAAAAATAGAAACGCCAAAACTCCGCCCACCCTCTCACCAAAATATATTTTACCGCTCAACTGTGTGAAGAAAAATAAAACTGTCCTCTCAAATGCGGAAAATCTCCTCCGCCCACAAATCTGTAGAAAATTTTGCACTCGCAAAAACATACTTCAGCTTCGATACAACAGACGGACACGTGATTACAAGAACCCACGGCCGACCCACAAGAAAAACATGTGGCTGACGTGGTTATTGTCTTCAGATGTAACTGACCTCCACGACACAAGTTTCAACTGGGCCAGAGAAGGTAGTTATGGATATAGGCGTTTTTTTAACGTGGGCATTAAAGTGAGACCGAGGAAAGACACAGAGGGCGTCTTAATGCAATTAGCAATGCAATATTTTCTGGTATCATTTGCATAATCTTGGACGGATTACCTTCTCATGAAAACAATCCATCTAAACTCCCCAAAGCAGCAACACCGTCCGGCTAAATGATATTATTGTTTTTTTTACAATAGTGATAAATAGCTATCTCTATTACTCAACGCTACATACATAATATTAATCTCGATATAGGCGACACTGATAATTGGCTTATTTTAAAAGTTATTTGAACTTATAATACAAAGAAAGAGCGGACGCTGATCGATTCTGATGTCCAATCAATTATATTATATATAAATCAATTGTCGTAAAAACGCCGGGTTATTTTGGTAATGTCATGATAATTGCGTAAATTATTGAATGTAGACAGTAACACAATATCCTAGCTCCGGGCGTGTAGGACAGTAATTTTTCCCGGGACGTCTTCCTAATATCCGTGTCTAATAACAGTTTACTTGTCGGATAACATAGTCAATATGATTGAATGGCTGTGAATTTGTCGGATAACACAGTCAATCTGATTGGATGACAGTTAACTTGTAGGATGGTACAGTCAAAATGATTGGATGACAATTAACTTGCGGCATGACACAGTCAATCTGATTGGATGATGGTTAACTTGTGAGATGACACAGTCAATCTGATTGGATAGTCATTAAATTGTCGAATTACAATTCGAGATAATTGTAAATTATTAATTCACAATGAAACTAATTTGAGCCCATACAAGATATGTAATCGGTATTCAAATCTCCCAAGCAAAGCAATATCAGGGTTTTACCTATTGAGAAGACAAATTACAAAAAATAGAAAAGGCTAATAACAGACCAGCCCTAAAGTACAGCCGACCTGCCAGGCAGACACGTCACCGTTGTCTTCAGATTCAACATATAGAGGTCATGGAGGTCAACGCTAAATGTTCATCTTTAACTTACACTATATCAATCACAATAATGACTACATGTATATTGGCTAACTGCAAAAACAAAAATGGGCTGTTTCTCTTTCTCTACCCTCACTATATTTACCAATAATGAGCTTGTTTCAAGTGTGAATTTGCATATTACAATAAAAAAGAAAGGCTGGACACGAAAGGCAGCGATATCTTATTCTGTATAAATCCACTGTCAAAAAACACGGCAGCTAATATCAGCATGTAATTACGTTGGCAGTTAGTGTGTCACCTGACACAGTCGATCTGACTTGATGACGGTTAACTTGTCGGATGTATGTTTGAAAAAGATATATTAATATTTCACAATGCTACTAATTTGAGCAAGTTGCGTAATCAATACCTAGGACTACCCAGCAAGGTACGTAATCAAT